TGGACAGCCCTGGGAGAGAAAGGAAAATTGGACACAACTTTCAGTTGGACACAACTTTCAGTCAGGACTGGAGGGAGAGAAGCTCATGCTTAGGATTTGTGCTCTGCAGAGATGTAACAGGAGAGAATAAAACCTGAAGTTTCCTCCTCTGTGAGGTGTTGCTGGAATTTTAGAGAGAGAAATGAACCTTGAGCTCCTGTGACTTCAACAGCAGCACAGAATGGATCAGGAATCTATGATAGCTCAATCCCTATGATTCCAAGGATTAAAACTCAACATTCTCTCCTTCCTCTCTCCCTGTGATCTGAGGAGCAAATGCTGCTCCTGCTCAGGATACCATGAGGAACCTCAGAGCAGCTCAAAATTTGGATACAACACAGAGCACAAAGTGCCATTTTCACCTGGGACATGCAACACCTGAAATCCAACCCTGGCAGAGCTGAAGTGTCCTGAGCATGGAAAAGAGCAAGCAGAGTGCTGCTCCCAAGGGAAAGGGAAAATCCTACTCACCACATCCACTGGGAACAGGAGAGAGGAGTCACTGGAGCAGAGAGGCTAGAGCTGAACACTGAAATTTCCTGGGGAGTTCACAGCATTTTCATTCCAGAAAACATTAAGGAATGGCTCAGTCTCATCCCTTCTGCTGTGAGCAGAGCTGAGGATATCTGGGAGCAGAGGAAGGGAAAAGTCACTTCAAGCCCTTTTTTTTTTTTCCAGGATTACAAGGACATCTAATACTTGGAATACTTTGTAATCAAAGTTGCCCTGGAGATGTTTCCATGTCTCAAAGCAGAGCAGAAGGACCATTTCAGGAACGCAGCTGTGATCTTCCCAACACATTCCCAAATTCCTGAAACACCAACTCCCTCCAGTCAGGTCTGCTGTGGAGAGGAGCAGAGCTCACTTCCCAGCACTGCCTGGCAGGGTGGGATGGAGCAGGACAGTCTCAGCATTCCTCTTTCATCCACAGGGACACAAATCCCATAGTTGGGTGACACTTAAGCCAGAGGTTCCCTGTCCTACACTGAAATTTGGGAATGGGGAGACAGCAGAGCACAGATAACATGACAAGGGCTGTGCTGCTGTGGCTGGAGCAGAGAAAGGTTTGGATCACTGATTGGGATAACCTGATTTTCCTGGAGGAAGCACATTGTCCTTCTCAAGGGCAGCACTTGTCACCTCTGCCCTTCCCAGACCTGAACTGGTTCCCAGAACTTCAACATTTAGGTATCCACCAGTGGATATTTGCCAGCCAGTGCCTTTGGAATGAAATTCCACCTCTCTGGGGCTTCTTTATTTGGAATCCTCTGAGAAATTTGGGAGTGCTGCTGCTGTCCCAAAGGCACCAGCAGCAGCAGCAGCAGCCCTGAAACCACCTCCTGGGTCAACATTTCATCTCAGTGGCTCTTTCTTTTCACTCTATTAACTTTATACCCTCCAGAGGCACTTAATGAGAGGAAAACAAATAGGTTGCACTTGGGAGAAACAAGATAGCAGAGTTGGCTGGGAGGGAAAGACCAAGAATACATATAATAAAGATAATCAGGATCAACTAGTCCATTTGATTGATTAGCCATTGTGCTAAGAGTATAAATTGGGCACTTGTAACTATTCCAGGGCATCATTTATTACAGGCACAACACTCCTGGAGGGTGGAAAAGCTTTGGGAGCCTCTGGCTGCTGGGAAGGGACTAAGCCATGGGTTAAGTAGTTGCTGTGAGAGTAGTAATTACACCCTAATAGCACTGGACTTTTAATGGACACTAATAATGCCCTTCTGAGCCTTTATCTGGGGGTAATATTGAGAGGTTGGGAGTTGTGTAACTATGGAGCAAGGAGAGCACCAGGGTGAGCTGGAGGAGGCACATTCCAACTTCTCCAGTCTCCTGCTGCAGGAATATAGTGGTTGAAACCAACCTGTGCCTGACAATCTGTCCCAGAAGAGTAGAAAAAAACCCTCTTTAGATAGATTTTATGTGGAGACACAAAGCTCATCCCAAAGGATTTGGGTATCTGTGGGATAAGATAAACTGTGGGTGGAAATTCATCAGCACAGCAAAAGTTTCTCCCATACCAAAGCCACCAACATTTGCTTTGCCATTATTATTATTGCAGTTCCATGAAGGAATTGCTTCTTGCTTAGCTCTGTCAAGCAGAAATCCTCCTGCTTTCCCCAAAGAAATCCCTGATGAGGCTGAGCCAGCACAAACCTGGGATGATACTCATATCCATCATCCCTCCCCAGTCAGGTGTGTGTGGCTGCTGCTCCCAACCTCACAAAAATGAGGCTGAGGGGAAGGTTGGAACTTGAAGAATCAGAGAATCAGAGAATCGACCAAGTTGGAAAAGACCTCAAAGATCATCAAGTCCAACTCTAAAGTGGTTACTAGACCATGGCACTAAGTGCCACATCCAGTCTTATCTCAAAAACCTCCTGGTGAATTGAATCCATCACCTCCCTGGGCAGCACATCCAATGTCTGATTGCTCTTTCCATAAAAAATCTCTTCCTAATCTCCAACCCTCCCCTGGCAGAGCTTGAGTCTGAGAACCTCCTCCAGAAGTTGTGGCTGCTCCAGGCTGTGGATGCTCTGGGAGGCAGCACAGTGAGCCCAACAGGGACATGAGCAGAGCTCAGCTCAGGCTGGCACAGATGGAAGAAATCCTGCTCTGCTCCTGCACAGCTGGATGTGAGGGGATCCTACAGCAGCAGCACACACCTGGAGACACTCCCAAACCAGGACTTTGCTGGGTCCAGTGCTCCCAGAGGGATGGAAGGGGAAGCAGAGCTAGGTCTGACATCTCCCCAGGCACTGAGTCCCAGCAGAGCTGCTGCAAGTGGATGCAGCTCTTGTCCTCTGCTGGCACAGAAAACATCTGCACAGCATCTGCTGCCCTGGATCCAGCTGTGCAGGGGCAGGAGGAGGTGGGGACCTCACTGACCCATGTCCCCAGCAGCTGCAGAGCCACAAGGAATCACTCCATCATCACTCCCTCAGGGGGGAGAGAACCCAAAAAGGTGTTAGGTCCCTCAGCTCATCACCCTCCTTAACCATTGCTGCCTCACCATTCCCTACTAGTTTCCTGCCTTCTTGAGTTTTCTCCTCTTGGAGTGCACATTTTGGGGGGACAAATGCTTTGAGAAGCATTTGGTCTGCAATTCTCAAATGTTGGAGAATTGTAGACCAAACCTGGAGACACCTGGATTTGATGGTGCCTAAATTCCCAAGGATGAGACCTAATGCTATCAGCAAAGTGATTCCTCCTGTAAGAAGGCCAAGGAGCAGATTTGATCTCCCCCATAGCAAAAAGCTGGAAATCCAATCCATTTTACCATGGCAAGAGTTGCTACATGGAATTAAGGTTTAAACCAATGTCATTATGCCTCCAATCCATGTTCACTCTTGATTTTGTGATCTGGCAATGTTTAATTGCCATGAATGTAAACATATTTGCAAAGGTTATTTCCCTCCTCTGGAGGTCAATGGACCTAATGGAGCAGCTCTAAGTGGGTTTGGATTGCTTTGATTTCCTGTTTACCTCCTGGAAGTGGCTTTGGGTCAGCACAGTTGAGGTATATAAACACCCCAAAGGGTCTCCTTGGCATCAGAGCTACCTGAAATCCTCTGGGAGCTTCAGGGAAAGGTAAGAAATTCCATGTCTGTCTCTGTGGACGTGTTGGGCTGTAAAAGGAAAGAGTTTTGTTTCAGAGGGAGGTTCAGTATGCAGCAAATATCCCTTAGGATTTGCACCTACAGAGGAAAATGAGGAGAAATTGGAGTTGAGTTGCTTTGTGGCATCTCTCAGCTATGGCTAAAACAGGGATAATACTTTTTCCAAAGCAGATGGTGCTATCCAGAGAGCTGGGAAATCTTCCTGTTGGAAAGATTCCCCCAATTCCTTCTCTCCTTTGTGAAGGAATCAAATCCTAAGGCCTATACCTTGATTTTAAGAGGAACTTGATGTACCTGAGATAACATAACCAAGTGACTCTTTTCCTCCTGTAATAGAAAGGGCTGAAAACACTTTGTTAAACTGTCATCATTTTCCAGAGAGAAAAAAGTACAACAATATCCAAATTGGCAAATTCCTGCTCTTCCCAAAGCTGTAATTGAGCTGTTGGGAGAGAACAAATCAGTACTTAGAGGAATAAAGTTGTATCATGGCTGAATAAATGATTGAAGGAGGAGATAAATGAGTTCTATCCAGAACTTTTTCCATGGTGCTATGTCATTCCTGTTAACCTGTTCCCCATTGCAAAGCCTTTCCCAGAAAAAAACGACAACAAAGGCAAGGCACAACCAAAATATGCAGGAAAAACTATAACAAAGGTAAGGGACAAGCAAAATATCCATGATCAAACCCATTTTTGTGGGGAGTTTTCCAAGCTGGAACAGGAATTGAAGGAGCTCAGATGTCCAAGGGAGGACTGAGGACGTGAGGACTAGGAACAGCTTGAAACCAATAAATCTTGGAATCCAATCCTGTCACTGGCCATGGGATATTTTTCAGAACTGATATGCTCTGGCTCCAATCCCTACCTTAGGCATTAGCCATCCCAACAGAAAAGCTCCCAGAAATCAGCTCAGCCTCCTAAATCCCATGGAACTGCAGGGAGGGATAAGCAGGATGTCACTGAATTCCCTGATCCAACTGTGTGTTCCCATTCACAGCCTCGAGGTTGACTCAGCCCTTGGAGCACAATGAGGTACCCACAGGGTCAGCTTGTAAACACAGGGGGAAGACAAAGCCTTTCCCTCCAGGAATGTGCAAGCCACAAGGAATTTGATGGCTCCAATAAAAAGTTTAGGGAATGAACATTCAAAGCTGCCACGGGTGGGAAGGAAGTGTTGGCATTGAGAGTGATTTAACTGGGAAGGGCAGGAGAAGGTTTTGTGGGATGGGGAAAAGCACAAGATTTGAGGAAACATATTTACAAGCATAGGCACATGCCCAACATCCCTCTGGATTCACTGTCCTGTTCCTTTCTGTGTCTTCCAGGAGTGGAAATCCAGATTATCCTCAGCTTTGGAACAGAAAAACCAGCCAGGAAAATGTTCTTCAAGTCTTTCAAAGTCCTCTCTCTGCTCTTTGCCTCTCTGGGGTTTGTTTTGATGGAAGAGAATGTCTCAGGGTAAGTGTTTTGGGAAAGCTCCTGGTGTGTTTTGAGCTTTTTCCAGCTCCTCACTGGAGGTAAATGGATTCTTTCCATTGGCACCTTGGGAAGTAGGTGAGAAAACAGAGTCCTGAGGTAGATCTCAGATAATAGACACAGAGATGAGCAAGTGATAAGAGAGAGATCAAACTCATGCCCTGAGCCTTTGAGCCAGAGCCAGGAACTCCCATGTTTGCCCTCCAAACTTTATAGCTGTGGGTTAGGAGGAACAAGCTGGAAGTCAAGCAAGTAAGAGAAGGTTGTCTGAGAACAAGAAACAAGATGTAATCATCTCACCTCAACAGGGCTAAAGGGCACCCAGTGCTTGGAAGCTCCTGAAAACACGACCAATTACATATAACAGGGATGTATTAAAGATTTTCCCTCTCTCTCCTGCTAGAAAACTCCTCAAACCACCCAAAATGACCTAAAAAACCTCCTTATTAGAGCAGTAGGAGTTGTTGCAATCCCAGAGAATAGATCTAGAGAAGGATCAGCCCTGAAATCCTTTGCTAACTTGGGTAGCCACCAGTGATGTCTACACTGGTCCAAAGGTTTCTGGTGTCCTGCCACCCCCTCTGAGCCTCTTGAGGACACAGGGAAAGGTTTCCTTGGCTCTAGGTGTGCAGGAAGGACCCTGAGCATGTTTGGTGTCTTTGCTCAGAACCCAAATCCATGTGAGTTGGGAAGAGCACGTTGATTCCAGACTATAGCAAAGCACCAGAGCTCATCTCCTCCCAAGCTGTCAAATCCAAGCTGTGATTGCCTTAGCAGCCAGAAAAGTGGGTGAGGAATGGTCAGACCTCTCTAGGAATGGTCAAACCTCTTCAAGAATGGTCACTTGGAGAGATTAAAACCCCCAGGAGAGATTAAAACCCCCAGGAGAGATTAAAACCCCCAGGAGAAATTCCAAGTGAGCCCAAAACCTTCCTGAGTGCAGAGACAACCACTCCTAACCCAAGGCAAACTTTGCTCTGTGTTCATTCCTGGGTGGTGCAGGATTCCCTGTGTCCTTGTGCTTTTATCCCAGTGCAAGCCTAAGGATTCCCAGTGGGAAACCAGTGCAGAGACGTTACTCTGAGGCCACTCTGGCGAGTGACTACAGTCGCACCATGGACAACATGCTGAAGAAGAATTTCGTGGAGTGGCTCCTGGCCAGGAGGGAGAAGAAAAGCCAGTGAGTGCAAAGATTCCCAACACTCCAAAGATTCCCAACTTCCCAGCTCCATCCAGAGCCGAGGAGATTTATCTTGGAGAGCAGCAAGGATTTCCCAGTGACTTGGTTTGCTTGTTTGGTGTCTATCATAGAAGGGTTTGTGCTCTGTCTGCAGCAGCTCAAGGATCTCCCTCGAGGTCTGAATCCCTTGGTTGTGCCGCTGGAGTGGGAGGGAGTTGGGATTTGTGGAAAAGCAACATTTTGGCACCCTCTTGTGGCATTTCGAGCTGATTTCTTTCCGCTTTAACTCGCCAGGGATATGGTGGAACACTACAAGAGAGAAGCTGAGCCCCAAGAAGCAGCTGTGGATGGACAAAAGTTGGACCTGAGTGCTCAAGATGCCAAAGATTTCTTAGCTTGGCTGCTGAAAGCCAAGGAAAACCAGAGGTGAGGTGGGAGAAAGGAGAAAAGGATGCAGGGAGGGATGAGCTTTGCAAGTGAGAGAAACATTCCTGCAGGAAAGTTTTGGGGCATAACAAGAAAATGCTAAAGGAAAATTCACATTGTG